TGGCAGTTATGGTTTAATTTATGAGTATCCAGGTTTTAGTAGTGATTGTCTATGGATGCAGTAGGTACAAGGAATGAAGTTTATTCTTTGATAAATTTTGTCTGTAGCTAAAATGAAAAAGAGAAGAGTAGCTAAATGCAAGTAAAGACTAAAAATATGTATGAGTTTAAGTATATAAGATATTTGAGTATTTTTATATCATCAGAGGAGAGACACAAATAGGAAAAGCTGAGACAAAAGAGAAAGGAGAAAAGAACAAATCTGAAGAATTTAGGTTCTTATGGAGGCAAGAAAAGATGGGAAGTAGAACACAGCTGTAAAGACACAGAGAAAAAGTGAAAATAAAGTAGACTGAAATGAAAGTGACCTAGCTCTTAAGGCTGTAGTTTCCATTTTAGTGAAATAAATGACCTTATACCTGTTTCCCATGATAGAATGAAAGTTCATTCTGGATTTCTTCCTATCAGCAAATCCTGTGTATTCTTTCTTAATAGTCTTAAATCACTTCCCACTTTCTTTACTTATCTCAATCACCATTCTATAAATGAGCATTTTTCAGACTTGTGTTACAGGACACATTCTCAGGTGTTCCTATATTCTAAAGCAAGAGAAATACTGGTTAGGAATATCACCATCTCTCATTCATATTATTATCATTGTGCTCTTTCTCCTAGGTGCCTTCTCGTCTTTACCATGCAATATTATTATTATATCACCATAAAAGTTTGTTGTATAGGATTCAGTTTCTGTTTCAGCTGAGTTCATGAAAGTCAACAGGAAACAGTAGTTGGCAAGAATTTCCAAATTCTAAACGAAGGTACTCACAAACTTAGGTAGGACTTTCAAAGATTCCATGGTTTAAAACAATAAATACTTGTTTCTCGCTGACAGCGTATGTCTGTTAAGTTTAGCAAGGAACTCTGACACATGTCTTCCCTCTCAAGATCACAGCCTGACAGAGTTGCCAGCATCCTTAACATTACTCGTAGCTGTAAGAGAGAGACAACTTGGAGGATTTTGTTTTGGCAATTAAATGTTCTGGTCTGGAATTAACATGGGTTACTTTTGGTCACAACTAACTGATCAGAACTAGCCATTGGGTTCACCAGGTTTTTCAAAGAGTGTATCTGTCTGTCAGCTGCAGAGGACAGCCCTTAATATGTGCCAAGGCAGCTGAAAAAATCCACGGAAAACATCATGAGCACCCACTATGGTGGCCTTTAGTTGATTATTCCTACGCGGACTGGGAAGATTAGAGGTGTGACCTATAAGATGAAGGGTAGATTTGGTGAGGATCGTGTTGCACATTCTTGCTCCCCACCTCAAGTCTGGTAGGAGGAATTCAGTGGAATGACTTAGAGAATTTTGTAGGTATTGGTGGCTGTCTGGTGAACAAAGTGGGCAGATTTAATAATACATGTCTGAAAATACATAAATGTGAGAGACTGATTGAAGCAGTGTTGAGCTATAATACATAGTAAAGTAAACCCTGCTGCTTAACTTCCCCTTTCCCCATCTGCAGAGTTTTATCCTGGCAGGTTCAGAAACCACATTTATAAAGCTAAAGGCAGAGAGAAACATGTACGAGATGGAGAACTAGAGACACGGATAACCCTCATACGTCCCCATAGGAGCTCAGACTAGAACAGGTCTAAATTTGAGGGGTCTTAGTTGCAAATTAGTTATGAACTGAAGGCAGACATTTTAATTACTGATATGAGAATATTTTATTACTAAAGTTTGGCTTTTTTATCATTTGAAAGGGACCAGAAAAGTCACAAGACATTTTAAAGATGTAATCCAGGAACATGAAAAGAATCGCTACCATGGCATGGGCAGTATAGATAATAGGAAAATAATTTTTTTCTGTTTTAATAATACCTAATGAGTTCGTCTCATTGTGAACATATTAACAGGTAAATATGTATTGAGCTTTACTAGGTGCTGGGCACTCTGCAAAGCTTGTTATATGTATTGTCTCACTCCTCATCATCTTATGTATAAAATTTGCACTATTATTTCAGTCACTATAAATTTGGAAACTTTATCTTCTAGAGGTTAAATAACTTTCTGTGGGAGTGAAAACCTATTCCGGTAGGATTCTAGTGTCCAGAACCTTATATAATACATGATAGCCTCCTAGAACCTCACAGGACTGTCCAAACTCCTTAGCATACAAGATCCTCCAGGATTTGGTACATCTTATTCTTCCAAGTGTATCTCCTATCATTTCTGATTATATTTTCTCTCCTCTAACTATAATAGAATACTTAAATCCCTCAGGAGGTATCTATTTCCCACATAGTTATTAATGTCATGAAAAATAATATGACACCGCAGAAGAGAAAGAGATTATGCTTGGGTGAATAGGACATATTTATGGACTACATGAATTTTAAGTTTGACTTTAAGCAGTGTCTATGACATAAAGCACATAAGATTGATAAAAAGAAAAAAATATCCAGAAACTGCTGGGCATTTAAATATAAACTTAATGTACGGTGATTGAGGGCATGCTGAGGAAAATAAGACATAAATTGAATCAAGATGGTAGAGAAACAGATTTTATGGAATTTTATAATTTATTTGTAACTAGGAGTTGTTTACTATTAGAATAGCATAGTCATAGAGAAAAGTTAATTATTGTAGAACATTCAAAGTTATCATGGAGAAAAAAATAAGACATGAAGAGAACAGTTTGGAAAGTTTAAAAATTTGGTCATAGGTACCAACACTTTAAGTGCCTCAAGGCTAGGAGTGACCCATATGTTCTCCGTGGGCCAGGGGTGAAGGTCTGTGGTAAGGCAGAGAGTGTATTACACAGCTGAGGGCACTCACAGTCATTACATTAAACTCTGCTTTCCAAACTTAACATGCCCATAAACACATTTCAGCCTATGCCACATGTTTGCAGTCACTGGAAGCAAGATAGCAGATGTGAATAAGGGCAGTGTCGTGTGAATGAGATGGAGGACATTGGTTAAGACACATGAGGGGACAGTATTGAGAACACTTTTCTATGCATGTGAGGGCAGGGTAGACCTAAAGGTAACACAGGACCCATATTTAGAGTTTATGCTGAGTTAGATTCCTGAAAAGTGATTAAAGATAGACAGGAGATTATTAAATGGGTTAAGTCCATTAAGTTATTAGGTTTAGAATTACATAAGTGGTGTAGGTAGCTAACAGTTATTGGGTGGTTTCTATTAACATGACACAGGTTTTGGGCTAAACTCTACCTGGGTTATCAGATTTATGGATCACAACAGCCAAGTAATTTAAGAACTACTGTTACCACTCCTGTCCAGGTGAGGAACCTGTAACTTGACATAGCACAATGAGGTTCTTAAGTATTGCCCTAGTTAATTAGATTGATAGAATGGGGCTTGGAACACCAGCACTCTGACTCAGAGTCTCAAGCATGTTTTTTAGAGCACAAATTCCAAAGTGCAAATGGGCACATAAGAAGCGCAAATTGTGTTTACCCATGTAACAAACCTGAACTTAAAATAAAAGTTGGGAAAAAAAGAGCAACAAGAGCGAAACTCTGTCTCAAAATAAATAAATAAATATAAATGTCCCAGCTTTATTAATTTATCATAGATTTCAGTGTTTTTGTCAGATAACTGAGTAAACAATAAAAACAGAAACTAGTAATAAAAACAACATAAACATTCAATGAACTGCTCGATACTTTAGTTAGAGTTTATTTACTATTAGAATAGCATAGTCATAGAGAAAAGTTAATTATTGTAGAATATTCAAAGTTATCATGGAGAAAAAAATAAGACATGAAAGGAACAGTTTGAAAAGTTTAAAAATTTGGTCTTAAAATGTACTCCTGAACTTAAAATAAAAGTTGGGAAAAAAAGAAGTGCAAATTGGTGTTAATACAAAGAGGTGTGACGAGAGAATTTGGTTGGTCTTGGTATTTCCAGTCAAGTAAAAAAAAAGTGATATCAAGTGCCATATAATATGAAACACAAAACAAATACAAAGAAACCAAGCATATGTTTAATATAATAGAGGAAGAACGTGAAGACTCGAGGTTTCTAAACACCAAACAGTTTTTGAAAAGTATTTTAATAATTCTAAAGATTTATTTAGCACTTACCAGTGCCATGATTAATTTTTCAGCATGTCACATGGATTAATTTATTTAACCCTCACTGCAAACCTACAAAGTGATTAAACTGAAAAATATACAGGTTGGGTAAAGAGCAGAGGGTTATACCCAGCTACTTAGTGGAACAAAATTTCAAACCAAGGCTGCCTTGGCCAAGAGTTCGTGTGTTTAAAGACACTGAGTGAAGCAAGAGAGTGTCAAATAGGATAAAGTGCAAGGTTTGTTCAAGCAGGCCCTGAATCTCTCTGAAATTACATTAAAAATATTGGATATTTCATTAAATTATTCAATAATTATTTATAATACAATTATTTCTATTTGTATTAAAAAGAAATATTTCATTTTTTCTTAATAGTATTTTAAGTGAATTCAAAGATATGTTCCTTTACTACAAAGAAAATCACATACACATATATTTTCAAGTTTTGTTTTACTGTATTTCTTGAAAGAAAATGTATACTTAATGTTTTAAATAATATTACACTGTGAGTCTTTTACAAAGAAAATACTACAATTCTCTCCTTACAGTAATCAATACTTTAAAATTTTCTGTTTAAATATTATTTTAATTCCCTAATCCTATATGTAGGCACAATATAGTGGGTAGGTCATTACGAAATGTCCCAATGTTGGTATATGCTTCAGCCTTCAAAGATATTAAGAGAGAGTATTAAAATGTTTGTAAACACACACACACACACACACACACACACACACACACACACACGGTTCCATGAGCTAGGTAATTTGAATTTATATGCTTGCTTCTTTTTTCGAGACTATGTTAGCCATATTGTATGTAAAGAGAGCCAGAGAGACAAGCGACATTTGTAATATGTGCATACTTGGAAGTCATTTCATGTCATATTTATTATCTAAAATTCCAGCACAGAAAGTTACTGTTTCCTGATTTTTCCATTAGAAAGTTTGTTCCCTCCTCAGCAGTCTCCTCAGGGCTCCTCTTACATCCTTGTTCCTCAGAGTATATATGAGAGGATTGAGGGTAGGAGTCACAACGGTATAAAAAAGTGTGAGGAACTTGCCCTGGCTGCGGCCATAGGATCTCTTTGGTTGAATGTATATGGCCGAACTGGGCCCAAAGAAGAGGGACACCACTAACAGATGGGAACCACAGGTCCCTAGGGCCTTGCGCCAAGCCTTGACTGACTTAGTATTTATCACTGCTTGCACAATGAATCCATAGGAGACTAATATCAATGCCATAGGAAGAAGGAGGAGAACCAATGTGGCCACAAAAAGCTGGACTTCATTTGCATGAATGTCCACACACGCCAACTTGATCATGGCAGGCACCTCACACAGGAAGTGGTGGAGGTGGCGATTCCCACATCGAGGCAGCCGGAGGGTGATGGTGCCTTGGATGAGAGTGTTTCCTACTCCACTTAGCCAGGCTATTCCTGCTAAGGCCTTGCAAAGTGATGGGGCCATGACAGTAGTGTAATTGAGAGGTCTGCAGACAGCTACGTAGCGGTCGAATGCCATGACAGTAAGGAGTACACACTCAGTGGAACCCAAGGAGAGGGACACATAGAGTTGTATGGCACAGCCAGTGGGTGTGATGGTCTTGGCTGGTCCCTTCAGGTTCCACAATAGCTGGGGAACAATGCTGGTAGTGAAGCAAAGGTCAAGAAAGGAGAGATTTGTGAGAAAAAAATACATAGGCATGTGGAGTTTGGAGTCCAGGCAGGAGATCACAATAATGGCTGTGTTGCCCACAAGGGTTAGAAGATATGATATCAAAACTACCACAAAAAGGATGACCTCCAACTGGGGCTGATCTGAGAATCCAAGCAAAATAAAATCTCCCCCAGATGTTTGATTGTTTCTTTCCATTAGTCGTCCAAGGTAAAGAGAAAAATAGGTATAGGGAATTCAATTTAGAGAAATATTGTTACTACTCACATACAATATTTGAAGTAAAATCTTAACTGAGGTTTTTAACTGGAGGGGTTTCTCTGAAAAGGAAAAAATAATAATTATTAAAAAGACATTCTTAAAAACAAAAACATTCTTTAGGTCATCATTTTTGGACTCAATAAACATTGGCCCATCCTCCTTATTTTTATTTATTTATGCATTTATTTATTTATTTATTTATTTATTGAGAGAGAGTCTTGCTCTGATGCCCAGTCTGGAGTGCAATGGCACCATCTCATTTCACCGCAACCTCCGCCTCCTGGGTTCAAGTGATTCTCCTGTCTCAGCCTCCTGAGTAGCTTGGATTACAGGCACACACCACCATGCCCGGCTAATTTTGTATTTTTAGTAGAGACAAGGTTTCACCATGTTGGCCAGGCTGATCTTGAACCCCTGACCTCAGATGATACACCTGTCTCACCCTCCCAAAGTGTTGGGATTACAGGTGTGAGCCTTTTTTTATATGATCAGCTCTTTTCCCCATTTGTTGAAAATTATTACTAACTATAATCTACTCAAAGATGAAAGAAAGCTCCCAGTTCAGGTGACTATACAATTCTGTTAGTAGGAAATTCTGTTTGGAGGAAGAAACTTATCTGAATACTGAGACTATAAATACCCAGTAGTCAATTATTAGTGACAATTGATCATTCTAACAGAAATTGTAATGCAAAATAATACATAACAGTGAGGAAGTGGGTCAGAAAAATAAATTTAACATATTTTGTGTCCTTTCTGTCTTATAGACAAGGTTGGTTATGATAATATTTTGTATAACTAATTTTCTGATCAGAATGATACAGTGTCAGACACAGATGAATTTCAATATGGAAGGAAGCTATTGTCTTTATTTAACAACTTACATGACTACCACAAAATCCTTTATCTATTATAGTTGAAAAATAAAACATTTGTAACATATGCACATCAAAAGGCAAACTCACAAATTCAGAAGTGCACACATTTGTTCAGACTGATAGCCACAAAATGTTTTTGTTTAAAAATAAAGTTAAAAACTCATCTACTCTGACTCATTTAAAGACAAGGTGTTATTTCACATGATTATGAAGAGACAAAATATGTCTTTATCAGCTCATTTCACCATTGTTCTACATTAAAAAAAAAACTGTCTGGATTATAATATACTCCATCATGCTTCACTTACTATTTTATTAATGGTATTATCCTCTATGCACCAAAATTTTCTGCCCTTCACATAGAATCTTACTGAATCTTTTATCTTTAGTAATAATGAAGGCTAAATTTATTATTTTGTTTAGATAATTTTATATTTCAGAAAGTAAAATGGTGATTTAAATGGGGTAGATAAAGTTTTAAATTTTTAAATTCTGAAACTAAATGTTTAAATTTATATGGATACTAAAGAATTCTACTTAAAAAAATGGAAAATCATGTTGCATAGATTCCCATATTCTGCTTATTCCCAATGCTTCTTAACATACAATGCTAATTTATCCTAGATTGATGTGTTCTAGTGCTAGTCACTAAAAATCATATTTCAGTTATTTAATACATTAAATTCTTATGACTGTACTATTTATATGTCAGAATTATCAATGAAATCAAAATCATCTATTCCTCTAATATATTTTTATTATATTTGAATTTTATTTGAATGTTTGTATTATAAGGAATGGTTCTACAAGGGCCTTTCAACTTATTACTAACTTTCTATCTTGATCATATGAAATCGTACTCTCTCCAATTCACTGAGAACCAGCTTACAAATTGGAGGTGAGATGTGTAGCCATTTGCCTTCTCTATGGTTTAAATCTAAGACTTGTGACTTGAAGAAAGTCTCTTAACACGATCTGAGAAGGAGAGTTGTTTTTTATATATATTATATATACACACACTCACATATATACATACATATATATGAAGAGAAACTATATATTTTATACATTTTATATGTAATTTTTCTATTTACTTTATTATTATAAAATTTATATATAAATTATAAAATACTTATGTGTATATATACATTTTAATCAGAAAATAGTATTCTGAAAAACTATCTTTCCAAATCTGAAAGACGAAGAAAGGCTATTAAGTGCTATTTGGGAAAGGAAGAATTATCTAGAGGAAAATCCATTTCCTCTTGGCAAGAAGATCAAGAACTTTGTTTTCCCAGTGCATTTTTCTAATTATTTTTGTGGTATGAACAATGACTACATTTGATATTAATACATAAAAGTCAGACCTTAGAAATGACTCCTAAAAGGAAATCTGTAGGAGACACAAAGTGAATCATTAAAAGAAGTAGCTAAGTCAGTCAAAGCTGACTAATGTGATTGGAGGCAACTCAAGAGGGAGAAAGGAATGGTGACATGAGGTATTAAGACAGGTTACTTACATTCTCTCATCATTCTCCTTCTCCCTTTCACCTCTGTCAGTGTGCAGACAATATCTCTGGTGACATGACTTAGGCATATTAGAGTTTCTCCCCTGAAGTGAATATCACTGCCCAATACCTACAAGTCTGGTGAAAGTAAATATTTCTTGGGCAATCGTCCCTGGAGAAAATCAGATTAGAAAAAAATTAGAAGTATGTAGGATATAAGTTCTCTCAACACCTTGGAGATCTGTATCTCCAAATTGCTAATTAGCCTGGAGTGTTTAGTGTCCAGGCAGGGCTTTCTCAAGGGAGAAACATGAAGTGAGGCATTTCTCAAGTGGACATTTGCTGTATCTGCAGTGAGACAATATCATGACAAATTATTTTACCCATGCTCAGGCCCCTCAAGTGTATACATCCTTATGTTCATCACTATGGTTGGAGAAAAAGGAAAGAAGCAATGTCTTTACTATTAGAAGCTAGCTATACACCAGGTAAATGAGACTTGTTTCTCTTTAATAACTGGTTATTTTCCTTAACAAATATAAACATTTTTCAACATCAGTTACCATTATGTATAATGTCCGTGCCTGAATAATGCTCCATTACAAGGATGTCCCAAATTACTTGAGTAAATGCCATATTATTGGTTACTAAATTTGTTATAATTTTACTTTATATTAAGAACTGCTGTGATAAAATATTTTTATAATTCAATATATGATTTATAATTAAATATGCACACATACTATGATGTATTTACTTAGAAATAATATATGAGCCAAAAATATGGCATTGTCATATCTAAAAGAATTTTAAAACATCCACCTATGTCTCTTAACACTTGTGCAAGAGAGCCTCCCCACCTCCCCCCTGCCAATTCCAATTCAATGATTATTTTTGTCTTATAATCTGTTAGGTAAAAAATCGCATATCATCATGACTTTTAATTTGATTTATAAAAAATTCCAAATCCCAAGTTTATGCAAGAATTTACATTTTCTCCCCATTCTTCAAGTAAGATTCACAGTTTGCAGTGAAATATTTATATATTTAATCCTTTAAATATTTAATATATTAGTTAAATCATTGAGTCAGTAATCTAATATCATCATTAGTGGGTCATCATTTGATCCATTTTAGTGGGTCATCATTTGATCCATTAAGTAATTTATTATTTTGTCATTGATTTTAAATACCAGATTTATGACATTTTAAATTATTTCAGACAATTGCATTTTTATTGCAAAGTTTATGACTCTTCCAGTGATAGGTTTCCCAGAAATATATCCACTGATTGTACTGATTCATGAAAATTTTATAGTGCATTTATTACTGTTGTTCTGTTTTAATTTCACATGACTTTTAAAATGTATGTATGCCCATGTCTCAGAATTCTTATCCAGTTACAGTTCCAAAATTATACTAGGTAGTAAATATTTTTAAAAAGAGTAAATAATTGTGATAAATGCTGGCAATCTTTACTTTTTCCTGATATTAATGAGATTTCTCTAGTATTTCTCTAATTAACATGATAGTAGATTTAATTTTGAGTAAACATTTTTGTCTCATTAAATAACTTTCCTACTGTTCCCTACAATGTCACATGTCACCAAGCATTTTTAAAAATTGGTAAGATATTTTGAATTTTAATCAGTGTTATTTACTCATTATTTGGAACAGTAATCTATTGAAACACTCTTGAAGAATTTCTCAAATAAATTCCATTTGGCTATGGCATACCATTCTTTTAATTTATTCTTGAATTTCATATAAAATGCTTCCACTTGTGGTAATGGGATTTCTATTTTTGTAAACATCCTGTAACCAGTTGGAAAATACAATAGAAGAAAAGATATATCCACAGTAGTGCAAATAAACTAGAAAGCCTAGAAGAAATGGATAATTTCCTGGACACTTACACTCTCCCAAGACTAAACCAGGAAGAAGTTGAATCCCTGAATAGACCAATAGCAGGCTCTGAAATTGAGGCAATAATTAATAGCTTACCAACCAAAAAAAGTCCAGGACCAGACGGATTCACAGCCAAATTCTACCAGAGGCACAAGGAGGAGCTGATACCATTCCTTCTGAAACTATTCCAATCAATAGAAAAAGAGGGAATCCTCCCTAACTCATTTTATGAGGCCAACATCATCCTGATACCAAAGCCTGGCAGAGACACAACAAAAAAAGAGAATTTTAGACCAATATCCCTGATGAACATCGATGCAAAAATCCTTAATAAAATACTGGCAAACCGAATCCAGCAGCACATCAAAAAGCTTATCCACCATGATCAAGTTGGCTTCATCCCTGGGATGCAAGGCTGGTTCGACATATGCAAATCAATAAACGTAATCCAGCATATAAACAGAACCAAAGACAAAAACCACATGATTATCTCAATAGATAAAGAAAAGGCCTTTGACAAAATTCAACAGCCCTTCATGCTAAAAACTCAATAAATTCGGTACTGATGGAACGTATCTCAAAATAATAAGAGCTATTTATGACAAACCCACAGCCAATATCATACTGAATGGGCAAAAACTGGAAAAATTCCCTTTGAAAACTGGCACAAGACAGGGATGCCCTCTCTCACCACTCCTATTCAACATAGTGTTGGAAGTTCTGGCTAGAGCAATCAGGCAAGAGAAAGAAATCAAGGGTATTCAGTTAGGAAAAGAAGAAGTCAAATTGTCCCTGTTTCCAGATGACATGATTGTATATTTAGAAAACCCTATTGTCTCAGCCCAAAATCTCCTTCAGCTGATAAGCAACTGCAGCAAAGTCTCAGGATACAAAATCAATGTGCAAAAATCACAAGCATTCTTATACACCAGTAACAGACAAACAGAGAGCCAAATCATGAATGAACTTCCATTCACAATTGCTTCAAAGAGAATAAAATACCTAGGAATCCAACTTACAAGGGATGTAGAGGACCTCTTCAAGGAGAACTACAAACCACTGCTCAGTGAAATCAAAGAGGACACAAACAAATGGAAGAACATACCATGCTCATGGATAGGAAGAGTCAATATCGTGAAAATGGCCATACTGCCCAAGGTAATTTATAGATTCAATGCCATCCCCATCAAGCTACCAATGAGTTTCTTCACAGAATTGGAAAAAACTGCTTTAAAGTTCATATGGAACCAAAAGAGAGCCCGCATCTCCAAGACAATCCTAAGTCAAAAAAACAAAGCTGGAGGCATCACACTACCTGACTTCAAACTATACTACAAGGCTACAGTAACCAAAACAGCATGGTACTGGTACCAAAACAGAGATATAGACCAATGGAACAGAACAGAGTCCTCAGAAATAATACCACACATCTACAGCCATCTGATCTTTGACAAACCTGAGAGAAACAAGAAATGGGGAAAGGATTCCCTATTTAATAAATGGTGCTGGGAAAATTGGCTAGCCATAAGTAGAAAGCTGAAACTGGATCCTTTCCTTATTCCTTATATGAAAATTAATTCAAGATGGATTAGAGACTTAAATGTTAGACCTAACACCATAAAAATCCTAGAAGAAAACCTAGGTAGTACCATTCAGGACATAGGCATGGGCAAAGACTTCATGTCTAAAACACCAAAAGCAACGACAGCAAAAGCCAAAATTGACAAATGGGATCTAATTAAACTAAAGAGCTTCTGCACAGCAAAAGAAACTACCATCAGAGTGAACATGCAACCTACAGAATGGGAGAAAATTTTTGCAATCTACTCATCTGACAAAGGGCTAATATCCAGAACCTACAAAGAACTCAAACAAATTTATAAGAAAAAAACAAATAACCCCATCAAAAAGTGGGCAAAGGATATGAACAGACATTTCTCAAAAGAAGACATTCATACAGCCAACAGACACATGAAAAAATGCTCATCATCACTGGCCATCAGAGAAATGCAAATCAAAACCACAATGAGATACCATCTCACACCAGTTAGAATGGCAATCATTAAAAAGTCAGGAAACAACAGGTGCTGGAGAGGATGTGGAGAAATAGGAACACTTTTACACTGTTGGTGGGACTGTAAACTAGTTCAACCATTATGGAAAACAGTATGGCGATTCCTCAAGGATCTAGAGCTAGATGTACCATATGACCCAGCCATCCCATTACTGGGTATATACCCAAAGGATTATAAATCATGCTGCTATAAAGACACATGCACATGTATGTTTATTGCGGCACTATTCACAATAGCAAAGACTTGGAATCAACCCAAATGTCCATCAGTGACAGACTGGATTAAGAAAATGTGGCACATATACACCATGGAATACTATGCAGCCATAAAAAAGGATGAGTTTATGTCCTTTGTAGGGACATGGATGCAGCTGGAAACCATCATTCTTAGCAAACTATCACAAGAACAGAAAACCAAACACCGCATGTTCTCACTCATAGGTGGGAACTGAACAATGAGATCACTTGGACTCAGGAAGGGGAACATCACACACCGGGGCCTATCATGGGGAGGGCAGGGGGGAGGGATTGCATTGGGAGTTATACCTGATGTAAATGACGAGTTGATGGGTGCTGACGAGTTGATGGGTGCAGCACACCAACATGCCACAAGTATACATATGTAACAAACCTGCACGTTATGCACATGTACCCTAGAACTTAAAGTATTATAATAATAATAAAGAAAGAAAGAAAGAAAGAAAGAAAATTAACTCAAATATTTACATTGATTATTGCTGGGTTGCAAGAATATAACTCAATTAGATTTTAATTTTTAGATTTTTGTGTATTTTATAAATTGTCCTGAAAAGCATGTATTACATTTGTTTTAAGAAAAACCTCAACAATTTGTAAGAAAAAGGAAGGAAAATATAAATAAATAAATAAATAAATAAAAAAGAAAAAGGCTTTTAAAAAGGAGTCAACAATTTAATATTTTATATCTTTATTCACATGACATACATATTTATTGAAGATATTTCAGAAACAGAGAGAAGAAAAAAATTCACTGGTAATATAACTGCCTAAAGAAACTACTGTTGACATGTCATTTGATCCACTCAAATTTATATATAAAGTTCTTGCAAAAACAAGAGGTCATACTATACAATTATTAAAACATGCTCCATTACTTAATAAATCACATTTACATTTCTTTCTAAACTTATAAACATACTTACAAATTATCTAATAACTAAATATAATTTCTGTTTTTAATTGTAGTCTGTGTTAACTAGTCAGTTATTCTTGCCTGTTCAGATTATTTACATTGTCAATTACTATCCACACAGTATAAATAAAAACCACAGTTTCACGTTTACATTAATAAGTCAGGTTTTCATAAAATTGGGATATCCAGCAAAACATACACCTTGGTCATTAGTGAGCGTTACCATTATTCCCCAATAGTAGAAATACCACATTCTGAGAGAAGATTACATCTCTCTATTTGGCAGATAACCTTAAGCAAGATCATGGAACTATCACAATTCTCCACTGTTTCTTCTATTACAACTATTATATGAGTAGTTATTAATTCCTCATAGATCAAATGTTAACAGAGCCCCTTTCTGAGAACTAGACGTTTAAATCCAAGGCAATGCCTCTGTAGGTGCCTAGAGCTACTGAATTGTGCTATAACCATGTTCAGTCCTCTGAAGAGCAAGTTTTTGGATGATCTCCAAATCTATTGCATCAGGATCCATCTGCACATATATACATTTTTAAATTACATTTTTAAAAGTTTATATTAATTTTAGTTCCATTTTCTTTCTCCATCTTTGCATTTTAATACTATTTCTCTTTTTAAAAACATTTTACCATGAGAACTCTCAGTAAAAATTGCTCATATTTTTCTTTTAATATTCTGTAACAAATGCTTCTGAAACTTAAGAGGGTGCTTTTTTTTAATGTTTACATATTTTATAGTTACATGCAAATCACAAAAATAATTATTTGACTCTATGTACCAATAATTAAAGTTGAATTTTAAGACATTTTTAGGGAAAGAAATAATAAACTTTCTAGAATTATTAGGTAATTAAGAATCATAGGGGACAGGCACCTTTAAGAACACACCCCCTTGTGACCAAAGGAAAAGTCAGATAGGCCCATCAGGGGCTAGAAAATGCCTAAGAGTATAGTGTGATAAAATTTACCTGGCTTCTGAGGTGTAAACTGGTAATTTTATACTCTAACTACAGAGATGACTCAAAAATTACCATCACTGTAACTAAAGAAGTTCCTTACAAGACATGTGGGAGAGTACACAGCTTTTTGTCTGTTTGTTAAATTTTAGGCTGTTTGTACATCTTTTCCAAGAAGCAAATTTTCAAAGTCCTCTGGTACCTAACTATGGGTCAAAATTTTTTCCTTGCCACGGTTCTCTGGAGAGCTGCCTTAACTTCCTTGTTCCGTAAGCTGTAGATGATGGGGTTCAGCATGGATGTCACCACTGTGTAGAAGAGAGCTAGGAGTTTATCTGTTCCTGGTGAATGGCTAGCCTTGGGCCTCAAGTAGGTGACAGATCCTGAGCCGTAGAAGAGTGTTACTACAAGCAGGTGGGAAGAACAGGTGGAGAGAGCTTTACGGCGGCCTTCAGGTGAGGGCATGACCAGCACTGCAGCTAGAATTCTGCCATAGGAAGCAATGATCAGTAAAAATGGGCTGGAAATGCAAAGGATTGCCACGACAAAGACTGCAGCTTCATTATAAGATGTGTCCCCACAGGCGAGTGCCAGGATAGGTGGGAGGTCACAGAAGAAGTGGTCTATTTCACAGGGGCCACAGAAGTCCAAGGAGAAAATATAGTTTGTCTGGCCCAGGCCCACCATGCATCCTACTCCCCAAGAAACTATTGCCAAGTGGGCACACACTCCACGATTCACTCGTGTTGCATAGTGCAGTGGGGAGCATATGGCCATGTAGCGGTCAAACGCCATGGCTGCCAAAAGGCAGCATTCACTGATAGCAAACAATGTAAAGAAAAACATCTGTGTGGCACAACCCTCCCGAGAGATTCCTCGGGCCTCGCTCACCAGGCTCTGCAGCATCTTGGGTATGACTGAGCAAGTGTAGCCGATCTCCAGGAGAGACAAATTGGCCAGGAAAAAGTACATGGGGGTGTGGAGGACTGGGTTGGTCCAGATAGCAAGGGCTATGAGAGCATTGCCTGTCAGTGATGCTAAGAACATGAGTAGGATGAGGGTAAATAGAAGGAAACACTGTTCAGTGACCTCAGAGAATTTGGCAAACGCAAAGTGTTTGACAGACATGCTGTTGTCCTGCCACATGGAACAATTAAGACTCATGACCTGGGAAAGAGAAACACCAAAGTCACTAAAAAGATTCCTTTGGATGAGGGAAATAAGTCATTATTACTTTTTAGGAGTTTTAGTAAATCAGAAAAATGAATTTCTTACCTGCATTATAAAATTCAAAAATTACACTCATCCCCATACCTTTTCAAACCAAATCTTATTCTGTGTTCACTATCTCAGTTGATTTGTCCAAAATATAATCACCAAGCATAAAATTTAAAAATGTTAATTTTAGCTCAATTCTCCCTTCATCCCTTCCTTTAATCAGTTGTCAAATACTACCAAATAAAGGGCCTCTTGTACCTATCCATTTATCTTGACACTGACTTGCTTTCTTCATTCATTCATTCAACAAGTATTGAGCCAGAATATTTTGCAGTTACTGTTGTCGATCTTGGGATTCAGCAATAAACAAAAAGCATTTCTCCCCAAATGGAAATTATACTTTAGTACAGTAAAACAAATTAATTATTCAATCAATAAATAATTGCTATGATACAGAGAATTAAAACGAGGGCATGTCCTGATGGCCAACCAATTGAGATTAGGTGGTCAGAGAGGATTCTTGAGAATGAGGAGCGTGAGCTAAGATGTGAAAGACAAGAAGGGACAACCATGTGAACGTTGCATCACAGCCATTCAAATCCTGTCTATATTGTACTGCTTAGATAATTTTTGTCATAGCAACTAATGTTTTTACTTTTAATATTTCTCGTCTGCCACTCTTTCTCTATCAGACTGCTCTTTGCTAAATAAAAATTACCATCGCCTGCAAGTGAAAATTCAAAGTGCTTAATAAGGTTCGTGAAAATCTATGGGCTGGGCCACTGACAATTGATAGAAACTTTTATTTCATCCCTTACCCAAATGGGCCTCATGTTACAGTTATATCAAATTACTTGCATGTTGAGTATATGCCTTGCTTACACATACTTTCTTTTGTTTGTGCTCATTTTCCCATGGGGGCTGGACATTTGCTTCACTAATTGTCCACCTAGTAAACCGCCTATCAATATTCAAGTTCCAGCATAGTTTTGTCTTCTTTCTGGAAACTCTTTCCGACTCCCCTTCGCCTTCATCCCCATAGTAGTCAGTTACATGACCCCCCTTCCAACCCCGCTGTGTTTTCACCACCCTATAACAGCTGTGATAGCACTTTTACCACTCTGGTGACAATTACTTGCTAATTTCTTCCTGACAATAGCCCCAGACACTGGTACTGCATCTGGGATTTCATTTATTTATTTTTGCTTGCCATTATACCTAGCACCCTTAACAATTAAGATCTCATGTAATGGAAAAAAATTTTTAATGCTAAGTTTTACTATGGCTGCTTATATATTCTGCCCATAGGTACATATTCTATTTTCTGAAATTAAATCTGGTCTCCCTCAAGAATCTCAAATGTTACAGTTATTTTTCTCTCAATCTAATAATTATCTACTCTTGACAAAATATTCCTTGCAGTTGGTGTACTGCAGTTTGGATTCCTCATGAGATTACTGTGATGATTAAGTTAATTCCCACAATCACTTAGGAAAGTAATTAGGTGCTCAGTAAGTACCAGGTATAGCAGTGCATATACACATATGTACTGTCGCAATACGTTTATCTTCCTCTATTTTACCTATTGGGAAATTTTACAACACACTTCCTAATCGTTCCTTCTATTCAACATCTTCATCTCTATTTTATATCTTTGTCTATTCATCTACCATCATGGAGAGAAGAAATGCAAGAAATACAAACACACATACATACATACATAAACATGCCACCTGAATGCTATGTCTTAGGGAAAAATAGTTGTATATTATAGATCATTTAAATCTATTAAATTGAGTACTATTCACCTAAGCAACTTTTAACTAAAAAGTTAAAGATGAAGAACAAGTGGATTAATCAAAATACTGTTAAATATGAAGCAGCAACTCTGCATGATTGCATGGACCCTCAAGACATATGGCTATTGGAAGAATTGCCTGCACATTGAGTAGTCTATTATAAAGCATTCACACACATAGTAAAGCCTGTATAAACATTGTCCTTGCATTGCAGTTAATTTTAATATTTATATTTCTCGTGAAGCAACACAATTCACTTCAGGCTGAGCCAAAGAAAACTGAGACAATAGCCTACCTATCTTTCTGTGCATGTGTGTGAACACAAAAGATTTCCTTAAATTGATTAATTATTCAATAATATTTAATGCAGTTTCATAGAAAGCTCTGTATGTAGAAAGTTTGTCATCTCACTTGTCAGTTAAATGTGCAGCTATATATCTTACCCGTTGTATTTCCTTATTTCCAAAGTGACTATTTCCATAGTTTTTTCAGTGGCACTGATGGAAGGACAAAAAGGAAAATCCAGTCAGGAAAGAAGAATGTCTGATTGTTTCTTAACTGGTGATAAGATGAAGATTTCCTTTCATAAAAACCCTTGTCCCATTTAGAGGGTGTACAACAAATGCAAATGTCTGTGTTGGGGATGAGGGTTAGTTAGTGGGTGTTGGGGAGCAGGAGGCACCTAGTAGTGGGTCGGACACAGTGAAGACTGACCACAAAGGCTGATGCACTCTGCAAATCGCTTGATACTTTTAAGACTCACAGGATGAATGAAAGCATGCATCCAATGATAAGTACAGTTTAAAATCTAACAAAGTTCAGTAATAACAACTAAAAAGTATACAATATCAGACATAGTGAATGTCTGTGAGTACTTCCAAGGTAACTGACAATGCATGGTATTCTATCTAGGAATAAATACCAAATCGTATAAAAATAAATGTATGGGACTCACTGAAAGTGATAATACAAACAAATGTAGCAAAATTCTCCTCTCCCTTCCTATCACTCAAAATAGCACTGAACTAGGTAAAATCTGACTTTTAATTACACTTTCTACTGTTTTTTAGGACTCCTCACCTATTGACCCTAGTCTAGGCACGCTGAGGTCTATGTAGTAGAGGTCAGCTTTGTAAACATACCAAAAATGTTTTATTTTCATCACTACCTTTGGAAGAAGAACTGTCAGGGGCCTGCAGAAACGTTGGTAGGTAGTAGAACAATTTGGCGTGGATATTGCTTCTGTCTCTCATCTGATACGTTTTCTTGACCTAAAATTTCTGATTTATCGTTTCTTTGTAAAGATAGAATGATGAAGCACTTTCTGGTTTTCTTGATGAATTGTTTTGATTTAAAAATGCAAACAGGCCAGGCACAGTGGCTGATCCCTGTAATCTCAGTACTTTGGGAGACTGAGGCAGGTGGATCACTTGAGGTCCAGAGTTCGAGACCAGTCTGGCCAACATAGTGAAACCCTGTCTCTACCAAAAAACACAAAAGTTAGCCGGGCACGGTGGCGATTGCCTATAGTCCCAGCTACTCAGGAGGCTGAGGTGGCAGAATTGTTTGAACTCAGGAGGCAGAGGTTGCAGTGAGCCAAGAACTCACCCCCACTCTCCAGCCTGGGCAACAGAGTGAGACCCTCTCTCTAAATAAATAAATAAATAAATAAATAAATAAATAAATATGCAAACATTGTAGAAGCAAACCATGAATAAAAAGTAAGAAATAGCTATTAAGATGCAAAACTTCTGCCCTTTAAAGCCTCATATTAATGAACTCATAGGACATTGCATGGAATATTCTGTTACCATCAACCTATAAAATAATCTATATTAAGAGTCAGTAATCAAGTCATTCAAATTGGCACTGTGACATAATCTGAAAAGATGGGGTTTCACACCCATTGATAAATTATGTTTTATAGATTATTATTTAATGTTACAAAACCTTAAGTTGGCACTAAACACTGGAAAGTTTCTGAAGGTTTCAATAAGAAGATGAACTTTCAGTGGTTGGATTTATGAAAAAGACAGAGGAAGGACGTAAGTTAATTTTGATAGGTCAATGACTTATCCTCATGCCACCTTACACAGACTCCAGATCTAAGATGAACACACTCTCCATAGTTATACTTTGGAAATAATCCAGCACAAGTCATTCATTTGAGGTTGGCTCTGCATATTTAGAAGTGTTCCTTACCTGGCTCAGTCCCTTAGTTCATCTGTTTTCATGGTGAAGTGTTTCTCTGTTTCTTATCAGCAGAAAGAATACATGTGATACACTATTAAATATTGTATCTAAAACATTTAATGCACTTTCTGGCATACAAAATACAATAAATGTTAACCTTAATTATGATACAATCCTTTTAAACACTTTAGAAGTGCATATAATTTATGTAAATTAGTTATTAAACATTATGGATAGGACCACCCATTGTTTTCTACTATTTCCCCATAGTCACTTCATCAAGGACTTAATGTTTAACTGGGTGATATCTTAACCCCTTAGAAACTGCTTAATCTTTTGACAGAATTACCATGTACAAGATAATCGTATGTCCATTCCCCAAAAATAAGAGCTATGTCAATGTCCTATGAAATAATTAATTTAGAACAACTTATGGCAATTTTGTGACAGGAGTACTAAGAAGCTGAGTTGTACTTCAGAGAAAGAAAAAATAACTAATTTAAATAATGACCTGAACTGACAATTTCTTTAGGTATTGGCTGTACATTTTTACACCTTAATTCACTGTCTTCCATAGCCCTCTTTTCTTAAGGCATCAGCTATGTTGCATACCTTTAATCATAACATTTGAGAGAAAAAAATAGATGATTTTTGCTTCTGATGAACCACTTCCTGATTTTCTCTGCACCAGCTCCTTATAACTTCCCAAATTCAGACGATGTAAATCTGCCCCATCTTCACTCCTGAGAATGTGCTGAGAAGACTTTCTTGCAGTCAGAGACAGTATCTGATCTCAGGAAGACTGGGTGCCTCGTGAGAGTGCACCACATCCCTTCTAGCAATGCCCTCAGCTACACGCGCACACACACACACACTCACTCACAGGAAGAGAGAGAGAGAGGCTGTGCTAGTTACATAAGGATTACATAATTCTTCCTAAAAAGCAATGGGATAT